GTCATTGCTAAGTGCTTCAGTTTAAGACTGTGAAATAAGATCTGTCACAGACTTTAGAAATTCCTTGGGATGTAGCTATCTCCCTACATGTCCAGATGTCCACAGAGCAATACAGTCATCCTCATTAGACACGAGACATCTTCTCCTCAAATGGTTCTTTTCCTTTTGTTCTTTTCCAGTGTTTCATCTGATTAGAATACTCTTGGACAACAAAAGAAATACTAACATATTGAAAAAAATTCTCCACAATTTGCAGGGAGCAATGTACAGATAGGAGGGAATATCACAGTAAAAAGCAAAATCTCAGGGTGTCTGGTCATGAGGCTTTTATGACACCACATAGACCAGGGACAAAAGTGACACCCATTAAAGAAGAAATATACCATTGGACTCACAGGAGCACACCTAGAAAAGATGCTATTTTCTCTGTTTTGGAGTATTTAACTGAAACACACGATTATGTAATTAAGTGTTAAGTTTTCTAGTAGAGTAAATAACAACAAGAAAAGAATACTATGATGACAGCAGGCCTTCATCAGGTTATAAAAGGGTGATGTGGGCCAGGATGACTTTCAAACCAAGAACTTCACTCTCCTAAAACCCACCCAGAACCTCCATTTCCTGACACCATGGTCAACTCCTGCTGTGGTTCCAGCTGTGGCTCCTGTTGCTGCAGGCCCAGCTGCTGTGTGTCCAGCTGTTGCCGTCCTTGCTGCTGTGGTTCCAGCTGCTGTGGATCCAGTTGCTGCAGGCCCAGCTGCTGTGGTTCCAGTTGCTGCCGCCCTTGCTGCTGTGGCTCCAGCTGCTGTTGCCCCACCTGCTGCCAGACCACCTGCTGCAAGACCAACTGCTGCCGTCCGTGCTGCCACCCCTGCTGCTGTGATTCCAGCTGCTGTGGCTCCAGTTGCTGCAGGCCTAGCTGCTGTGGTTCCTACTAATGTAGACCTATTGCACCCCTAGTACTGCAACCCCTCCTGCTATGGTAGCAGAGACTGTGGCTCCAGCTGCTTCGACCCTGACTGCTGCCTGCATTAGTCTGTGGCAAAGTCTCCTAACCACACCATTTGCTATCGTCCAACCTGTGGCATCTCCACCTGCCCTCATCCCATGTGCTGTACCACTCCTTGCTGCTAAAGCTCTGCTTTGATCACACCAGCCCCTATTGCCTCCTTCCCTAGAGAGGAAGACCTTCCTCTTTAAAAATGTGGTGTGTACAAGGGAATTATCTGATTCCCATAAACAATCCTCACTCCTATCAATTATGTGTCTGCATCATTACCCCTGTCCAAACTCCCTTTCTTCCAAATGAATTCATTAGGAAAATCCTAAAAAGTTAACAAGTTGTTCCCATGATTCATCCCTCTGTCTTCAGGACATCATTATCATCCTTAAGGAATTTAAAGATTGCCTCCATTACATGAAGGGCTACAAATTTCAACCCTCTGACACTGAAGTCCAATCAAGTCTCCGTCACACAATCCTTGAAACAATTTCCTTGTACTTTGTTATTTCCATGTACCAAAATAAAACTTAATTCTACCATCACTTAAAATTGAATATGATTGTTACTCCTTTTATTTTAAAGAAGTGTTTTTGTTTGGGTTTTGAGTAATTGTATTTGACCTACACCTTTCAGGCATACGGCACACATTACTCAACTGTCCAACAGAAGTCAAATGACATCGGGAACCAGCAGTTAGCGTAATGGCTATGTCGCTGGACTCCCACGTAGTCGACCGCAGTTCGCGTCCCGGACCCGGTGGCTTAAAACTCACGCTGGGCGTGTGTGCGTGCGTGCCCAAGATCCCGAGAGGAGAATGGAGGAGAAGGAATTGCAGCGTGGCCATCCCCCTGGGGGGTGATTTCTCGCTTTCTGTCTCTGTGTCTCTCTCTGTCTGGCGAGTGCACGCGCCCTGTAGCGAAAATCTCTCAAAAAAAAAAGAAAAAGTAGTCAAATGACATTATCAATGCCTAGTTTTCTCCAGAAAATTGTTTTTGTCTTAGGCAAATCAACTAATCATTATGTACCGTTTAGGAAAACCAAAGAGTTCAAATGAAATCAAGGAGCACTCTTGAATATAACAGCAGAGGGAAAGGCTTAGAAAGACTGGACATGATTTATGATCTTTCAAAATGCCATCTTTCAGGGATTTTTTTTTACCAATGCAGAAGTCTAATGGTTTAGCAAACTATATTTTCCACTTGGAGCCATGTGCACTGGATCTTTTCTGCACAATATAGTGGGTCTACCTCATTTGAACCGGCAGTGCTTCCACCTCGCCATACAGGGGACTACCTTCAGGGCCAAGCAGGTAATGGAAAAGAAGGGAGCAGATATATATATATATATATATATATATTTTTTTTTTTTTTTGTCCAAGATTATATCTTCTTTCTGGGACAGAACAATAAAGACCCACATTTATCTCCCCACCTGAAAATACCACTCTCGAATGAGTCATTCCATCATCGGAACTCCCTGTCGCCAGTTAAGACCACCGCCCTACTTGATATCTCCCATTGGGATCTACTCTTGCCTCCTTACCTTCTCTTCCCTCACCTTCCACAAGTTTTAATATGAAAGCACACCTCAATAAATCTCTGCATGCTCGTCTTCATTTCAGTGATTCTCTCCTGTCCCATAAACCAATTCAAAATTCACAATAACTAATTTGAGCGCTGGAACGACAGCCCTGAAAACTTTGGGTGCATGGTGGAAACAGGATTATAAACATAGTAGCAGAAAACATATTTGATGAAATCTATAAAGAAAACCCTAATTTTATTTTCATCACACTTAATTTTCCTAAAGATTTTTAAATCACTTGTACACTAATACAAATTGTTTTAAAACTTAAGCAGCATAAAAGAATGTGAAGTTTTCCTCATTAGTATTTCCCAATAACATTCAATACCCATGATTGCAAATTGAGATACATCCTAACTGAATGCATTTGTATGACATGAAAGTATTTTATTCGCATGACATGTATGTATTTATCCACACATTTCTGTTTTATGCAGGAACCTACAGCAAAGAGATGACAGTTCTATACTGGAGTATGTGACCAACAGAATGCCTTGGGTACAGGTTAGTGAAGGCTTGGTTATTCTTTATTTTTCAGAGAGAGCTTTTTGGCTTTAGGGTGTGTTTGCTCTCTGGAAAGAAAGAGAGAGAGTGAGAAATCACCCCCTCCCCCCAGGGGTAATGGCCACACTGCAATCCCTTCTCCCCTATTTTCCTCTCAGGATTTTGGGCACTCACACTCACATGCCTGGAGTAAGTTTCAAGCTGTCAGGTCCAGGACGTGAATCACGGTGGTCCATGTGGGAGTCCAGCACCTTAATTATTACTCCATCTGCTGGCCCAAGGCTTAGCAATTCTTCATGCTGTTTATGCATTACAAGTAACTTTGCAAGATATAACTTGTTATTTATATTTATCTTTATTTCATACACTATGGTTTTTCAAAGCATGCATGTAGCGTGTGATCATTAAATTGAGAATATTCCCACAAACATTGCTTTCAAAACAGAACTTTGCATTCTCGTTTCTGTTAAATGTTGTTTTTTGTTCGTTTGTTTGTTTTTTGCCCTGAGCCACTACCCCCACTCCCCACCATTCACATATTCCCCATACAGTCTCTGGTTTCTACCCTGGTGCTCTCTATTTTCATGTCTTTGAACCTTTCAGTTTCTGTCATAGAGTGCAGACATTGAGTATATACAGACCAGGGACATACAGTGTTTGTCTTTCTTGGCCTGGCTTATTTCACTTGGTAAATACTTCCGTAATGAAAACTCATTGTGCAGGCCTAGCCACAGAGTACAGGTGACTGTGTGACATTAGAGTCACATAGGCAGGTCCTAGGTTCAAATCCTGAGTTAGCCCTACCATTTCAGGCTGGCAGGAAGACTAGAAGTGGGGAGGAGGGGGGATTTTGGTATGGCGAGACCTTACTGTGTGTCTCTTTCTCCCTCATTCTCTCTCTCAGAAAAGATGTAAACGTTAAAAACTCCATTGTGCAAATGAGACAATCAATAGATACATCAAAACTTCCCACTTTTAATATCTATCTTGGAATATAGGCAGAAAAATGTGGTTTTCTTATTAGAAAGCAACAAGTCATCGCTAAATGCTCCATCCTGAGACTGAAATGAGATGTGACACAGAGCTCAGAAATTCCTAGTTTGGCTATGTCCCTGCATATCTAGGTGCCCACTCAGCAATCACAGTCATCCTCATTAGACTGGGACATCCTTCTCTCATATGGCTCTTTTCTTCTCATCCTTTTCCAACATATCAACTCATCAGAACATTCTTTAAGAAAAGAAACATTAAGTTTGTCAGAACCATTCTCCATGATTTGCAGAGAGCAATGTGGAGTAAGGAGACAATGTCACAAAAACAAAATCTCAGAGAGTTATGCCACTGGACTCCCCTATAGGCTGATCGTGGTTCGAATCCAAGACCTGGTGGCTTGAAACTCACACCGGGTGTGTGTGCATGTGTGCCAAAGGTCCTGTAAGGAGAATGGAGGAGAAGGGATTGTGGTGTGGTCATCCCCCCTGGGGAGTGATTTCTCACTTTCCCTCTCACTATCTCTGCTTCTCTCTCTCAGGCAAGTACATGCGCCCTATGGCAAAAACCTCTAAAAAAAAAAAAAAAGAGAGAGAGAGAGAGAAAGATACCAGATAAGGCAGAAATAAAAGTGACACCTGCTAAAGAAGAAATGGACAAACACTTCAACTGGAAACATGGGAACACACAAAGAAAAGGAAAGGTGCTATTTTTCTCTATTTTGGAATATTTAACTACAAACACACAATTATGTAATTAAGTGGTTAAGTTTTCTGGTGGGGTAAATAACAACAAGGAAAGAATATGATGACAACAGGCCTTCATCAGAGTATAAATGGGAGACATGAGCCAGGAAGACTTCCAAACCAACAACTTCATTCTCCTGGAAACTCACCCAGAACCTTCACCTCCTAACACCATGGTCAACTCCTGTTGTGGTTCCAGCTGTGGCTCCTGCTGCTGCAGGCCCACCTGCTGCCAGAGGCCAGGGCCCGCCGGCGCCCTCCCCTGCTGCCGCCCTTGCTGCTGTGGCTCCAGCTGCTGTGGCACCAGTTGCTGCCGCCCCTCCTGCTGTGGCTGTGGCTCCAGCGGTTGTGGCTCCTGTGGTTGTGGCTCTAGCGGCTGTAGCTCTTGTGGTTGTGGCTCCTGTGGTTGTGGCTCCAGCGGTTGTGGCCAGGATAAGTAATGCTGCATCTCCAGCTGCTGCCGTCCTTCCTGCTGTGGTTGTGGTGGTTGTGGCTCCAGTGGTTGTGGCTCCTGTGGTTGTGGCTCCTGTGGTTGTGGTTCCAACTGCTGTTGCCCCAGCTGCTGCCTGCGTCCAGTCTGTGGCAAAGTGTGCTGCCATACCACTTGCTATCGTCCAACCTGTGTCATCTCCACCTGCCCTCGTCCCATGTGCTGCGCCATCCCTTGCTGCTGAGCCCTAGACCCACCTCCTCCTTCACTTTGCTTCCACAGATGTGGAGCTTTCTTTTGCTCCAATCATTAGGACGTGTGGAGTCTGGTCAATGTCACTCAACAGGATGGGCTTTGTTAGTCCCATCCCACTGACTCTGTGAGCACATTCTGGTTCGTTTCAAATGTTCTCTGTCACTCTTGCCATCTTTTCTTTCCAATATTGCCACTAAATATGAATTATTAGATATTATCTCAGCCCCTGTATTGATTGTACACCTGCATTCCCAGGAGTCTGTATTACCTCCCAGCGCAATTTTTTTATGCTTTTTTGTTTGTTTGTTTTTCTGCTTATAATAAAGTTTTCTGCATAAAAGAATTTATTAGCATTGTTCTCTATTTTTATAATCATTTTATTCAGTAAATGAGCAATTACATTTTCATAAATATACAAGAATGACCATTTTGATAACACTTTGAAAATAGACACTATACCAAATATAGATCATTTTAAGATACTAAAACAGAAGTGGCTTGTATGTACTTGCATGTGCATGTGTCTTAATATCTTATACTAGGATAAATTTTATTCATGTCTTCGCTCTTAAAACACACTACACCATTAATACATTCTATATCTTAATACATCGGCCCTACTTTCAAGAAAGGGGTAAAACAAGATTTCGGGGGTGGGGGGAAGTGCATGCCAATATAAAAAGGACAACCTTCTTCTTCTCCTCCTCCTCCTCTTCCTCCTTCTCCTTCTCCTTTTCCCTTCTCCTCCTCCTCTTCCTCCTTCTCCTTCTCCTTCTCCTTCTTTTTTTTGGTAAAACCAGGCCACTTTAATGTTTTTATACAATTTAATAAATAATCTTTAGATGACGTCAGACATGTAAGATTCTGAAACATCAGTCATGATGGTTTTCCAGATTGGTGTATCATTTTCAAAAATTACAAGGAGTTACTTGTATGCAACTGCTATCAAACCAGAAAGACAGTGTTTATGCATCCATCATTTTCAGGGTTGTTGGTAACTTGGGTCTATTTCTTCCAAATAGCCTTGCCTCCTTGTGTCACAAGGCCCAGCTCACTCATGTTCACCTCAATGACAGTACTTTCGGTGATAACACCCAAAGTTTTGTATATAGTGGGGATGAGGGATTCTTCTTTATACCAAATATTGGCAGGCAAAAGGTGGCTTTCAGTATAGTATGTGTTATGTGGACTTTCTTGAAACATAAGCCCACTGGCCTAATGAATCTTGCATATGTAAGTGGTTTTCTAGTAAAGCCATCTCTAACAAAGCAAACTTTTGTAACCAACCTCTTCCATGCCACCTTCTTTCTCTTTCCGGTTCGAATAACTTTTAATACTTCTGTTTCTCCCTGGGCTCAAACTTTGGGTAGAGGGACTTTGTTTTCCTGTTTTCTCTTTCCGTTTTTGTTTAATCATATTGGAAAGTACTTTAGCTCGGGACTGTCCTTCTCTGTCCAACAGATAGGCAGGTACTGCTGCCTGTGGAGTCTTTTCATCATTCTTTTGTTTGGTGTTCCTCTTTTCATGCATCTCGATAGTTTTTTTCATTTGTATTTTCTCAGCATGGCACTGTTTATGATAGAGCTTAGCCTTCAGACCAATCATTTTTTACCTTCTTTGAACATTGATGAGCCTCTAGACTTTCCTTCTTTCTGTTTTTCTCATAGTAATCCAAATGGTATCCATAGCCTTTATGATGTAATTCAATATATTCATTTTGTGGCATGGTGATGCTGCAGAGTCACGGGGAGCAGCCTCCTGGACGCAAAAAAGTTGTCAACTTTCAGGTCTCAGAGACCAACAAGCAGATCCAACACAGTCCGGAATGGGAAAGGCAAAAGGACAATCTTCTATAAATTATACAGTGTAGGGGCCAGCAGATGCATAGTGGTTACGTGGCTGGACTCCCACGTGGCTAACTGCAGTTCAAGTTCTGGACCTGGTGGCGTGAAAATCATGCTGGATGCATGTTTATACGTGCCCAAGATCCTGGGAGGAGAAGAGAGGAGAAGAGATTGTGGTGTGGCCTCCCACCTGGGGAGGTGATTTCTCACTTTCCCTCTCACTGTCTCTGTCTCTTTCTCTGGTGAGCACACATGCCCTAAGGTAAAAACCACTAGAAGATAAATAAGAATACAGTGTATTCAATTCATTTTATTCAATAAACAGCACTGTAGGATTTATAGTTACAAAGTGAATTATATTTATCACTGTGTCCTGCTGTGAAGAAATGCATATTTCATTGCACTTGTAAGGAAATATGCCTCATCTGGATGATGTGGTGTGTTTCTGACTGTGGTCTCTCAGAGTTTTCTGAATAATTTAAACATCTCCACACTTAACTGTCCAAGATATATTGGTCTTAGGTGGCTGGAATTTCAAAACACTCTATTATTAGGACTTTTTATTGGAATTAGTTTATAGCCTTTGAGTAGTTTAGTTAGTGAGCACATAAGGATTTTTAACTAGAGTACACATAAGAGTAATACTCTCCAGGAGCAATGCCTGCATTTGAACTTGAAAATCCAGTACAAGTAGCTAGCCATGGTGGCTGAGCAGTGACACAATGCTCCACAATACTGAGGCCACCTGAGAAGACCCTGGGTTTCCATCCCAATATCTTCCTGTGCACATGGGGCATGTGTGTGCCCGTCATTGGGAGTGGTTAAGGCTAGGGGTAGGATTTCCACATGACTCTGTCGGTGCTACCCGTGTGTCTGTCTGTCTGCCTGTCTGTCTCTCTCTCTCTGTCTCTGTCTTCCTCTCTGATAAAAGAAACAAATAAAATAAACTTAAAAAAAAAAAAGAAAAGAACTGCAATGATCATGACATGATCCTCCAATAGGAGCTCCTGTTCTTGATGCTTCTACCTAGGTTCAGATTAGCTCTAGGTAAAAATAGCCCTAAGCTATTGAACCAATTAGCTATTTGTTCAGACATCACTAATATACTTCACATTTCTTCAGATGTCTTCAGAGAAATGTTGCCAAGATCTTAATCATAGGGTTATAACACCTCCTTGAAATAACAAAATTCCCTAATTATACAACTCATTTGGAATCTACCTTAACTGACCTGAATCACAGTGGAATACAGTAGGATGGAATCTACTTTAAATTTGGCAAGGAAGAGTTTGAAGTATTATCATGATATTGTAACTTCTAAAATCACGAGCGGTATTTTACAGAGCCCAAACATTTCTGTTCATCAAATTCAAAAAATGAAGAGCCTCTATTTGATTTAATATATTTGTAACACTGGAGCAGTTTAGCATTGTGAGCTCACACTTAAAGTCACACTTTGAAATCATGCTTCAAGATTCCCCTTTCTATTGCATTTCCAATACCCTCCATCGCTCAGTAAACCCAATAAAGAAGGAAGAGTATCATGACAAATGTAAAAATCAATGACAAAATATTTTTAAGCAAAGATTTTAGTATAATTGATTTCATGAATACAATAGATTTAAAAAATAATAAATCAGAAAAAGTCTGACAGAGCTGCTCAGAGGGAGAAAAGAGTAATTAAAAGGCTAACAAATGGTACCAAAAAGAGAAAATAATGAGCTACCAAAAGAGTAGATACTTTTAAAAACAAACTAGAATATTATATGTGAGTTTATATAAATGTTTTAGAAATTGTGATTAAATTGAGACTATTTCAGGCCAGCTGTTGGTGTGGTGATTAAAACCACAGGATCCCACACTGCTGACCTGGCTAGTCACATTCCAGATGTGTTCTGGATTTGGTGGCTTGAAAAACACACCAGGCCTATGCATCCACATGCCCAAAATCCAGGAAGGAGAGAGAAATGGAGAAGTAACTGTGGCATGACCATGCCCGATGGAGGGTGCTTTCTCTTGCTTTCTCTCTCTCTCTCTCTCTCTCTCTCTCTTTCCAGCTAGCACACACACACACACTTAGACAAAATTAAAAAAAAAGTTTTAATGAACTATTTCTAAGAATATACAAATTGACAAAATTAATCTCAAAAGATATAGAAAAGATATAAACCTATGGCCATTTAAAAAAGGAAATTAAACCTATTATCCAAAATCTACCATCCACAGATATAGATATTAAAATACGAGACCTATAGTGATTTATATGAGTTTAATTAAACTTGAAGAAGTCTTTTCCTATTTAAGCTGGTAAAAAAAAAAAAAAAAAAGATAAATTTTCAAAAAATTTTTGCCAGAGGGCAAGTGTGCTGGAAAGAATCAGGAGATGGGAGAAGTGAGAAAGCATCTCCATAGGTAATGGTCACACCACAATCCCTTCGCCTCCATTTCTTCATCCTTTTGGGATTTGGGGCACACACATCCTTTTGGGATTTGTGTACACACATGCATCCAGCGTGTTTTACAAGCCAACAGGTAGGGAACTTGAACCTCACAGTTGGCCATGTGGGATCCAGCCACCTTAATCACAAGACCACAGACTGGTCCTCTCAATTTATTTATTTACTTGTTTATTTATTTAAATTATTTAATTTAATTTTATTATTATTATTATTTTAAACCTGACCAGAGAGAGGGGAAGTGAGAGAGCAAGCCACCATGTCTAGGACTCAAACCATTGTCAGCCTCATGGGAGTCCAGTGCCTTAGCCACTGTGCCGCCTGCTGGCTCCTAGGTTTATTTTTATAAGGCTTGTATAACCATAATATCAAACCAGACAAGAACAGTACAATAAAAGGAAGTTACAGGCCTATGTTATTGAAGTTCATAAATGTAAATATCCCATAGATGTTAGTAAATGAAATTTAGTAATATGTAAATGGAACAACATATAACCAATTAAAGTTTGTCCTAGAAATTAAAGAATGCTTCAAAATTAGAAAATATTTAAGTAATATATTTGTACATTAAAGGAGCAAAACTACATAGCCATATGAATAGCAGTAGAAAAATCACTCAGTAATAATATTTAATAGCTGTATTAACCGGGGATCTTCAGAAAATTGAAAGGATAGACACACACACACATACAGAGAGAGAGCTCTGTTATATGGAATTGACTCA